TTGGAAGTGGGAATCTGGGGAGTTCCAAGGGCCACTGCTGAGCTTCCAACTGCTCATTTCCATCAGCTCTAAAATTCCACCTGCTCCTGCAAGTTTAGTGAGTTGCTCTCGAGGTATTGTGTAAAAAATGGGTCAGAATATCAGTTACTGCTGGAATAAAACACCCCCTGACTTGCAGGGAGTTTAACTGCAGAAATACTGCTGGATGAGCTCCAGGGAGAGTTCCTTGCTTCTAAGGATAGAATTTGGCCCCACAGCCCCCTCAGAAATCTGAAGGGAGCCACGTGTAAAACTGTGTTAAAGCAGGGATCGGGAACAGCTCCCATTAATTGGGTTTTAATGCAGCCCACACTCAGTGTGAGCCAGCCTGGATGTTCAAGGTGTTAAAAGAAAGCATTTTGGTCCATTTCTCACTGAAGTGGTGCAGACAGACAGCAAGTTTCTACATTATAGTCATGTTTCTGTTTCATTGTATAATGTTTTGCAAACATGCATGCACAGGCAATACATAAAATCTTAATAAAAGTGCCTGGTATTTGAGATATTTGATGGAGTCACAGCCTGATTTGGGCTGGAAAGGATCTCAAAGCCCACCCAGTGCCACCCCTGCCATGGGCTGACACCTTCCACTGTCCCAGGCTGCTCCAAGCCCTGTCCTGCATTGCCTTGGGCACTGCCAGGGATCCAGGGGCAGCCTCATAAAAACAGCAAAACATTTGAATTAAATAGTTATCTCTTCACATATCACTTACTAGGTCAGTCTTTGGTAGGGTGACAGGTTTAACATGGCTTTAATAATAAGGAAGTCTCAAAATTGCTAAAATTCTACTCTCTTGCTTGGAGTAATGGTTTACACCATTTGTTGTCAGGAAGAGCCAGTTTGAGTTCTGTGGCTCAGGTGGGAACTGCTTCTGCAGTGGGAGCTGCTGTTTTCCAAACAGATTTGGGTATTTTTCAGCTGTTGTGCTGAATGTTTTGGGGTTTTTTTGGTTTTTTTTTTTTTTTTTTGCTAATAGTAATAACAGCGAGACTCAATGAGTGAAAAAAAACCAACAAGAAAAGTTGTCTGTGCAGTACCCCAGGCAGGCTGTGAAAAAGCTGCCGAGGAGGAGCAAGTGTTTATAACTGTTCTTTGCATTTGCAAAACTCTGGGGGAAAAACAAACAAACAAAAAGAAAAGCAGGGGGGAAAATAACGACAAAAATAAACCAACATGACAAACAAAAACTAACATTCCCAACAAACAAAAACTAACATTCCCAGCAATCAGGGTTGAGGGGAAGGAAAAACCAGTCTGTCTTTAATTCCTCTTAATCAAAGAGATTAAAAAGGGTGGAAAATCAGGCTGTGGGGTATAGAGGGGACAGGAAGGGGCTGGCACTGGTCCCTCTGCTCTTCCCTCATCCATCCTGAATCCTGAGGGACTGAGCCCCTCACCAACCCCAAAAATCCTTGTTTGAGATTACATACAAACATATATATATATAGATAAATAAGATATAATAGTTATTATTTAGTGGAAGGTGTCCCTGCCCATGGCAAGGGGGTGGTATAAAGTGATTTTTAAGGTCCCTTCCAACCCAGACCATTCCATAATTCCATGATTATTAGTTAGAAGTGTATGATTTTACTTCTTTGGACTAATTCCCACCTTCAGTTACACTGTTAAAAGTTATGATACAGCTGGTGTTCAAGTAAAATTGATTTTCTCTCCATTATCCCCATGGATTTCACATGTTTGTATGGAGAATTAAGGCCCAGTGGGCTGGTGGGAGGGACCTCTGAGCATTTAGGCATTAACAACAGGTTCAGGGGAATTTATCTGGAAATGTCCTTCCCTGTGAGAGTGGGGAGGGGATGGGATGGGGCCGAGTTTTATCTTCTTTGTTCTTCAGGGAGGTCCCAATCCTTCTGTGTCCTCCTCACACAGGATCACCACTAATGTCAATTCATACTTCTCTTTCTTCTGACAAAGTCGGGATTAAATGTGTGAGAGGGTATTTCTTGTTGGGACTCAGATGTTTATCAGTTTTTATCTCTGGCACAGTCTCACAAACCCTGACTTCCACAGCACTTCAATAACAAACTAAAAATGGAGCCCCATCTCTCTCTCTACAAGGCCTTTTAAGGATAAACTGCCCAATTAAGAAATGGCACCTAAATTATTTTTACTTTAAACTTAATAACCAACTACCTGTGATCTGCAATGTGGACTTCTTTATCCAATTTCACAAAACCACCCAAACCCATGGGGAAGAAGGTGAAGAAGAAGGACCGGCCTCCACCCCAAAACCTCCATCTTGCTTTATGTATACTATTATATTCTGAACCCTTAAACTCTTAAAATGAGTGCAGGTTGTGCTCACGGGCACTCACACTTGCAGCCAGTTCAATAACAGGATTTGGCACTGCCTCTTGGAGCTTCTTACACTAATTAACGCCTTTGCTCCCCGCAGGATGAAATGGAGTTTTCAGATACGTTTCCAAAATGATGTGCGTGATCGCTAAATATTTCACATTCTTCTGAACCCTCCACGAGTGTTTTGTGTGGGAGCAGAGGCATGGGTTGCTCCCATGGAAAATGCCTGGTGGCCCTGGCAGGGGGATATCTGATCTGTGTCCCTGTGCCAGCCTGTCCTCGGGAATTTGGGCATCCCTTGGGGCTCTGCAGCTGCCCCATCCTCCCCCAGCTGCTCCCTGTCCAGCTGCACTTTGCTCTCTTTTATCCCTGATTCTAACATGTTCCCAAAGTTTCAGGTCCATCCCACCCCAACCTGCCAAAACTGAGGGCAAAAAAAGGGATTTTCTGGTCATTTAAAAGATGCCATGGGGCAGTGACTCCCCAAGACCCCTGAGGAGGGGGGGTTAAAGCTAATCCTGCCGGATTAAACAGGTTAAGAAAATAATAAGGACCAGTTTGATTTGGAATAAACCCTTCTGAAGGAATCACAGTAAACAAAATCTGTTTGCCTAAGGAAACCCTGGTAGCAATCAGCCAGTAACACAACTGCTTGTGCTAATGAACCCAAAGCTGTTAATGTGGTTTCTTCAGTTAAATTGATTCATGAATTTTGAAGAGAACATTATCTAATGAATTTTCTTTGAATAGAAAGCAATTAAAAGGACAAATCAGTCTGATTAACCCCAAAGTCACCCTACTGCCACAAATGGTGTACAGTTTGAAATTATATCATAAAAAACTAGAGCAGATTTGCTATCTCTTTGCCCTCTACTAATCCATGTAAATTAATGAACAACAAAGTTAATTTCTTTGATGACCCTTTTCTCGTATCACCTGGATTATGCTGATGTTTAATTTGCTTAATGTTATAATAAAGACTAAACAGATTTTTTCAATGAAGTGATTATCATTCCCTTCAGTTAAGAAGTGATTTTTATTATTTAACACACACATAACGCCGTATGGGTTTCCTTTAAGAACAAAATCACATTTCTTTACCTTCCTACAGAAAGTACTCAATGTCTTTTTTGACAACTAAAGAAAGAAAATGTTTTTAATCAGTTTGTTTCTTTGCCAGAGCGGGAGGTTGAGGCTCTCAGCTGGGGGAAGGGGTCTCTTCTCCCTTTTTTTCCCTTTTTTCAGTCACCAGCTCACTCCTCTCTGTAAGTTATCCAAGAGTGAGATCCTCAGAGCTTTTCCAAGTGCTTTGGAGGAGCCAGAGGTGTTCGACCCAACTCAAATCCAAGCAAGACCATCCCTTTTCCTTCCTTGAAACAACCCTGGGCTGGGTGACACCCTGAGATGCCAAAGAAAGCCTCTCCTAATGCATTTGCTTATTCATTATTCCAGCAATTGGAACACTTAAAGCAATTTGCTGCCGAATTAAAATTAAAATAATGGCCGATACATTATATATTTTTTTTTTTCCCCCTGCATCATTAAGGATGTGCAGGACATTCAAGGTCACAGCCAGTCCTTACACTTGGCAGCGTGTGCAGTGCTGAGCAGTAGCTCGGGGGTCCCCACTATGAAATGCAGTCAGCCAGGATAATTCAGAGTTTGCTGGCTCTAGGGCGTCCCTGGCACGTCCCAGCTGAAGTTGGAAATTAGCTGGAGATGCCAGGCCTTTGTCAGAGAGGTACAGCCACTTATTCCTTCCCTTTTAATTTGACTCTATGCTAATTTATACTCCGCCAATTTAATGGGAAAAGCCACATTGTACCGGCTAACAGGATAATTGTACTCGAAGCAAATTAAAAATATAGGAAAATCAAAGCCTTAAATCCTTTTTTTTATAGTGATCAGCTACTCCAAGCACTGTCTGCAATAATCATGTATTTAACTGTAGTCATACAGGGCACAAAACAGGACGGTGCATGGGGCTGCTCCAGTTTAAATTACAAAATTGCCACCGAGCCTGGCTTTGCATTGGGTTTTTGGCTGTTGTTACTCCAAGCACTCTCTGCAATAATAATAATAATAATAATTTAAATGTAGTCATACAGGGCACAGAACAGGACAGGGCACGGGGCTGTTCCAGTTTACACACCTGCCATCGAGCCTGGCTTTGCGTTGGGGTTTTTGACTGTTCCATCCTAATTTCTCCAGTGCAGCAGTGCTCTCTCCCTCTGCCTTGCAGATTCCTTCACCAGGCAGGTGCTGTGGACGCTGCTGAACGATGTCAAGTTTGGGGAGGCAGTTTCCTACAAGCAGCTGGCGGATCTTGCTGGCAACGGGCGGGCAGCGCGCGCCGTGGGGGGAGCCATGAGGAGCAACCCGGTGAGTGCAGGGCACAGCTGCTGGGACAGGCTGGTTTGGAGGGCTCTGAGGGGTTAAATCCACCTGCTCTGAAAACTGGGCTGCCACGAGGAGTAAGGCCGGTAGGTGTTGTTAATCGGCAATAATGCACAGCGCAGGTGGGTGTGATTTATGCCCTACCGTTTATGCGGTTGGGTTGGGTTGGGTTGGGTTAGGTTGGGAGGAGGAACACTCCTGTTACTCACCAGCCTCTGCACAGTTTGTTATTCTCAAACTTCTTTGTGTATTCTTAGGCTGGGGAGGTCTTATTATCTTCCACATGGGCTTAAGTTGGCAGAGTATGAATGCTTTTGGTTGTGTTAAAGCCATCCACTCTGGCATAAATACAATTCTGGAAACAAGGCCAGGAGCACCCTGGGACAATGGAAGGTATCCCTGCCCATGGCAGGGGTGGAATGGGATGAGTTTAAGGTCCCTTCCAACCCAAACCAGTCTGGGATTCTGGAGGTGAATTGCCTGAATTTGAACCAGTTGGAGGGAGCAGCACTCCTGGTTCAGCCTGTGGATTTGGAGAAAGAATGTTCCTATGCTAAATGATCTGTGTCTGTTTTCCCTTTTCTTTGTCTGGGTTGAGCGTTGCAGTGTGTTTATGCCCCTGAGTCACCTGGGTGGGTGTGTGCAGCTGCTGTGGTGCTCAGTGGGTGCTGTATGGATTGGGATCAGCCCCACCCTGGCTCGGAGGGTTTGGGGGCTCAGCTGGATGTGCCTGCACTGTTTGAGGAGCAGTTCAGTCCCTAAACCCACAGAGCCACAGAACCCCAGAACAGTTTGAGTTGGAAGGGACCTCAGAGCCCATCCCATTCCACAGTTCCCCACAGGCAGCACCCAGCCAGGAGGACCCACACAGTTCCATGTGGGTTAAGCTTTGAGCCCACCCTGTTGTTTGCAGCATCCATCAGCTGTCCCTGTGAAGCAGCTCCTGTGAGCAGTGTTTTGTCAATAGCCCGCATTGTACTTGACAATACAAACTATTTTAATATGATGGAATGCTTTCCAATATAATCTGGTGTACATTAAGATAAGGCAATCCAATGCAAACCTGCAGGAAACAGCTCTCAAAGAATAACAATCCAGTGTTGTGCAAAAGGAGATGTAATTGCCATCGCCTAGAAATGTACCCAGCTTTGCCCTCAGGCTGCAGTGGAGCAGCAGCATCCAAAGTAGCAGTAACAGCAGGTTGTGGTGTGAAAATTCCTGCTTTTTCCCCTGTGAGGAAGGATGAAAATAGTTCTGAAAATATACAGCAAAGCTCCTGCAATTTTTTTTAAATGGGGTCCTAGTTATTATTGCCATTTCCCAGCCCATACCGTGGCTGCAGTGGTTTCTGTCCCCAGCAGAAAATTTTTAAGCTATGGTTATAGATAATAATGTATAGCTGTAGGGAAAAAGAGCTGTATTAATATAATACCACCTCAATATTTCATCATAGAAAGCTGATGATTAAAAAAAAAAAAAAAATCAGTGCTGTAATGAGAGTCCTGCCCATCGCAAACCACAATTTTGCCACTGCTCATCTCCTGGAGGTAATCTGAAATTCCATCCCTATTCCACATGCAAACACACACACACACATCATCCTTTTGCCCCTGAGTGTGAGCAACTGCTCAGTGCTCCTGATATTTCCCCCAGAAATGTCTCCTGGTCCTTCACCTGTGAGCCATCGTGTGCAGGCTGGCTGTGTGCAGTATGCAGGGATTTTATGCATGAGGTGAGAGATAAAGATAAAATGTGGCACTGCAAAAAAAAAAAAAACCCTCACCTTTGTTATTTCTGTGTATAAAGCCGTCAACTCTTGCGAAAACAGATTTTCTGACCCAATTTGCAACTCCACCTTGCAGCCTCGTAGAAATCTGATTAAAGAAAATACTGAGAGGACCAGTGGGATAAAACACGAGAGGTCAGAGATTGCTCAAGAGCTACTCAGGGTCTAAACCATCATCCAAACCCCACACTCATTCCTGGTAGTGCTCAAGGCTTGGATGGGGATTGGAGCAACCTGGTGTGGTGGAGGATGGATTTGTGATAATCTGATTGAGTGAGGGTGGCAGTACCAGGGAAAAGGGCCCTTTGAAATAACCCTGAGCTGGGCATCACATTGTCCCTCAAACACTTGGGTAAAATCGCAAAGTCACCTTTGTGATTTTACCCAGGATAGCAGATACCAGCACATTTCTCCCTCCTATGAATCAAAGCTTGGTCTTCAGTTTGGGTAGAGTGCATTCCACAGGTTTCCCCTTGCAGCAGGGATGCTCCACATAATTCCTGGGCTGACCCTCAGCTTCACGAGGAGGTGGAAGAGGTGCCAGCAGCAGCAGCAGCTGCCTCAGTTCCTGGCCAGGACAGGGTGGGGATGGCTCACCTTTCACAGGAGAGGCTTCCCAGAGTTTGCTGTGGTTCACACTGATTGCGAGGTCTGTGCTCCTCAAAGGGAACCCATAAAGTTCAATTAAAAATCTCATTAGACTGGTAGAGGAGGAACAAAAAGAAATCACAGAAGCTCATGGGAAATGGAGAATGTTGGGCTGATTAGTCCAAGGCCATCCTAAATGAGTGTTGTGTGCCTTAAATAAGACATCTTCAGAGGTCTGATCACAGCACTCAGAGCTGCCTGCACTGGGTTTGTGCCCTCTGCAGCTGTGCTGGTCCTTGGGCTCACCCCAGCCAGGGGCACAGCCTGATCCTGGTACCAGTCTGTCCTGAATTGAGGATATTGCACCAATCCATCCCGAATCATGGATATAACATCGAGCTAAATCATGGATACTCAACCAGAATGTTTGGAACACTGAGGGAGCAGTGGTGCATTTGTGAGAAAATTGTGGTGGGTGGATCTGAAACACCATGGACACATCAAAGTACCTGTGTGTTCATCCATTGAGCCAGGGGATGTCCTGAGCTGGAAGGGACCCAAGGATCATCCAGTGCAGCCCTGTCCCTGCACAGACACCCCAAAATCCACCCTGGGCATCCCTGGGAGTGCTGTCCAAACGCTCCTGCAGCTCTGGCAGCCTCAGGGCTGTGCCCATTCCCTGGGCAGTGCCAGCATCTCTGGGGATGAACCTTTCCCTACTATTTCCATTCCCAAAACCTTTGCATCCTTTGATGGCCAGTGATAACCTGAGACCCACACTGGGTCACACCACGGGATTTGTTTCTGCTGGGGAAGAGGTGGAGAAAAAGCAGGGGGTGGAACTGGGTGATCTTTAAGATCCCTGCCAGCCCAAGCCAGTCTGGGGTTCTGTGACATGAGCAAGCCACGAGTCTGGTTTTTGCTGAGTGTGTCTCAGTGTGATCCCTCAGCTGTTCCCATTTTGCCTGAGCCAGGCGCATCAGCAGCTCCAGCCACACCATGGGACGTTCCCCTCCTCTCAAACTGAGCACTGGGAACAGCCAGAGCACCAAAATTCCCTAAAAGCAGCTCAGAGTGATCCATCCTGTGGGCAGGGAGCTTTCCCCCACCTTTTTTCCCTAAACAAACACATTCTGGAGGAGTTGGTTTATTCACAGATCGCCAGGAGCGCTAATGACCGGCCCAGCCTTGTTCTGCCACTCACCCAGATGGCTGTTGATAAAGATTTAGCATCATGTTCCGAGTGTCAGGGCTGTCAGTAGTGCTGAACCATTTGACCAGAAGAAAAAACGCACAGGGAGCTATTGATTACAGCTTCTCAGTGTCACTTGTTCACCAGGATTTAGGTATTGATGAGGCTGCGAGTGAAAACAAGCTCTTTCCCTTGTGGGCCTCTACCCAGAAGAACAAAAGCGAAGTTGGAGAAAATATTCAGCTGGCGCCCGAATCAGAGGGACTCCGGCATCGATCCGAGGGCTCCTTCATATTATTTTTTTGTTGGAGACAAATCTGTGGGTTTGGAAGTTTTATAGTGTTTGAGGTAGGGGCTGTGCGTGTGATGGATTCGTGGAGGAGAGGAATTAGATTTCACAGCATGAAGATTTCAGCGGTGCTATAATATTATGAGCTGCTTGGTTATTGATAAAAATTACATTAAATGTAGCTGAGGCATTAAAGCTCCAGACTAGGGTAGTTCTCCCTCTAAAATGTCCTTAGGGCCCTAATAAATTTTAGCAGGTTTAATTATTTTAGTAGGCTGAACGTTGTCACCACAATTAAGCCAAACTGAAGCAATATTCAATATTTTTAAATTACAGCGCTGGTATGGTCTTTGTACCACTTCTACATCCAGGGCTGTGCAGGGTGACGGATGGGTGCTTGTGTTGGGACAATCTCAGCATGGAATTCTTTGGTTTTGGCCATGGAAAAAGTGGCATTAATTTCATATCCCCTCTGTTTGCTGGGTGGTGACAGCTCAGCCCCACTTCCCTGTGCTGTGAGCAGGTCCTGCTCCCACCCAGGGATCATCCAAGACCCCACGTCTGAAAATAAAGTCCTTTTTTTGCTTTTTCTCCACCAAGATTTATAGCCTTGCCACCAAACTCTGCTGCTTTACTGTGTGTGTTTTTAAAGAATTGCAAATGAGCCTCAGAGATGTTTTACAGTGTATTATTATGGCTTTGTCACTCAAGCCAAGCCTCCTGCAGTAACTGCGGGGAGTGTAAAGGCAGAGAAACCCCAAACCAGAAAAACACTTGCAAAAAAGTAAAAAAAAAACCAATTTCTTTGAAGAAGTCATAAACCTACAGTGGGATGGCTTGGCATGGAGCAAAGCTTTTATTGGTACTCACTGGAGCTGTCACAGATGGATTAATCACTTGTGGCATTGCCACCTCCAAATAAAGCAGATATTGGAAGCAGTTTTTTATTTAAACACTGATCAACAATTAGCGCCTGTGTGTATTCTCATTTAATGTGAACTGAGATTAAGATTTTATTAAGATTTTATTTCAGACATTAAAATTAGTTAAGTAAACTGAAAGAACACCCCCCAAAAAAATCCCTCTCAATTTATGGTCTGGCTTGTTCAGCTTCTTTGGGGTTTGTGTATCCCAGGCTCAAATACACCACAGTGCTTGAACTGTGTGATTAAATGGGATTAAAATAAGTGAGGGTAAAATGTGCAATTTGTCTGTGTGTCTACACAGAAATAAATTACAATTTTTGACTGGAGATCCCCAGATTTGTGAGAACTGCCCTTTTGGGTGAGTGATGCTGTCCCAGCCCCACCATTGCAATGCCATTACTATGCAGTTACCAAAACACACTCGTGATTAGAGATGATGGATTGCAGTTTTTATGGTGTGTACTTCAGCTATGATAATCACCTGTAATAAAAAATAAAAAAAAAATTTAAAAACCCACGTTTATGTTCTCCTCTGCATTATCAGTCCATTATGTAACTTCTGGCATTGATTTTGCAGAATCTGTGTAGTGTGGTTATAAGTGATAGGGAGTAGAAGGCAGAGAGGAGGAAAAAAAAAAGAGTTCTTAAAATTGGTTAGGTCGGAATCAAACTTCTCCTGTTGGAGGTTTTAAAAATTCACAGCCCATTTTGGATTGACTTGCTGCTAAATAATAAATAGTGCCTTGGTCTTCCAGAGAATTTCTCCAGGTGCACATGGAGGTGCTGCAGCCCAGAGAGGATCTGCTGGGGAGCTCAGGCACTGGGATCTCTTCTCAATAACCTGTTTTTTCCCAGAAATCTTCTAGTCCTGGGAGGATCATGGCATCCCTGAGTGGTTTTAGTGGGAATGGACCTTAAAATTCATCCCATTCTCACCCTGCCATGGCAGGGACACCTCCCACTGTCCCAGGTGCTCCAGCCTGGCCTTGGGCACTGCCAGGGATCCAGGGGCAGCCACAGCTGCTCTGGGCACCTGTGCCAGCACTGCCCACCCTGCCAGTGTCCAATTTAAAGAGTTCTCCATGTGCATTTTGGGTCTCTGAGGCTTCATTCCCCACCCTGGGCATGGAGGGCTCAGCTGGCGCAGGGCAGCAGGACCTGGTGCTGCAGGGAATATTTTACATATGGGATTTAATATCTCAGGTTTATCCTTTTAAATACTTTACATCATTTTTTATGTATTAAAATTCCTGTCCATGGCTATTTTTTTCCTGGGAACTGGGGTGGCCTCCAGGGGTGCTGATGGGCTCTGTTTGTGCTCTGATGTGGGAGCTCCGTGTCCCTGCCAGCCCAGTGCCACACAGCTGCTGGCTTTTACAGTGCTGGATTTCCACTCTCATGGAATCACAGCACCATTCAGGCTGGAGGACACCAGGCCCATGGAGCCCAGCCTGTGGCAGATCCCCATAACCATCCCCATAATCACTGAGGGACGCATCCTGTTTTTCCTCGGCCTGACCCTTTGCTCCTCCCGGGTTTTTGGGGTGTTTTGCAGATCCCCATCATCATCCCGTGCCACAGGGTGATCCGCAGCAGCGGGGACAGCGGCAACTACGGCGGGGGCCAGCCGATGAAGGAGTGGCTGCTGTGCCACGAGAGGCTGCAGAAGGAGAAGCTGGCACAGGGCGGGGGCTGCTCACCAGCCCCGGCACACAACCACGGCTCCTCGGCTTGAAACGAGCCCTCTCTCTCTCACAGCACCCAGCAGAATTCAGGAAAATGGTAAATATTTGAGTGACACATAAATATAATGCAGCATCCAAAGTGAAATGTGCGGTGGCACCACTATATTAAAAAAGCGGGATGCGTCCTGGGGGAGGCAGCTCGGCTGCCCTTTCTTGTTTTTACATTTTACAGCAGAATGACTACAGCGATCCAGGCCTGTTGTGCATGGATTTTGTTCCCATCTCCAGCCCTGTTTTGTTCTATTTTTAATGTCCATTAAAGCAGGGATAAGGGAGTGGGAGGGACGTGGCCAATGTGAGGTGGAAGCTTCCCCCTGAGGAAGTGTCTGGCTCACGGTGAGTGGCCCAGCCTGGCACGGGGTCCCTGCCCAGCTCCCCCTCCCCACTTTGGGGCATAAAATGGTTTTTTACCTGAGCAGGAGTTACAGGAGCACAGTGAGATCCGTGCAAAAGCAGGCAGCTGTTGAATTCCTTACTCCTGCATTTTCTTTTTGGACTTAAAGATGGGAATATTTTGGTTTTTTTTGTGTAGAGCAGGTGAAAAGATTCTGCTGACAAATTATATGTTTTGGATAAGCAGCTTGATTAGCCAAATTTGGCAAAATACTGAAAAGCTCATCATAGTTGCTTCCTTATCAGCAGCACATTCCTTTATCATTAGAGTTTTCCTTCAGATTTCTATGTTTCTCTGTTTTCCAAAGCTTTATTTCCCGTAGCCTCTCCATTGGCAGGATTCAAGAGACATTAAAGTTAAATTTTGAGGTGGTTTTAGCAGGGTTCTCTGCGAGTACGAGCCACCAGAAGCCAAAATTTCCAGTATGGGAATCGTAAATTTTAAGATGGAAATACTGATTTTTTTTATGTGTTTTATCATATTTTCATGGATGTCTCTTTAGAAAGGCCATTGCTGCCCCCCAAAAATTATTGTGTGGCAGTGCTTTAGTTAATCCAGGATTATTGATACCTTGGAATTACTTCAATAAAAAAACTGCTTTGCATGTGCAAGTGTCTTTGGGTCTGTTTATAAATAAAACACAGGGTGTGATATATGGGGAAAATAAACTATACCCCACTGTACAATATAAAGCTGTATTTTTATCAAGGGTTTCTTGTGGCGATATAAAGCACAGAAGCAAAGCTCAAGTGGTTTGTACGTGTCACCAGAACCCCGAGATAAAAATACGGCCTTATAATATGTACAGTTTGGGTGTATTTTATTATTTTTTTATGTCTCTAATACATGCTGCCACCAAAAGCAGGCGGCAGCAAATGTCAACTTTAACCTTTCCCACATTTGCATCCCTCAATGTGTTTTTATTTTCAGGTGTTTGGGCTTTTTCAGGGATGTGACTTTGTTTTTGTGGGGACGCGGATGGGGAGCGCTGGGATTGGGGCAGGTGATGCCTTTTCCAGAGAAACAGCCAATTTTGGGAGAGAAATCCTGTTCTGGGTCAGGGATTCGGGGTGGGCAGGGACAGGCAGAGATGGGGCAAGGAGGGGATGGGCAGGGACAGGCACGGGGGGACAGGGTAGGGCTGTACAGGGCAGGGACAGGACAGGGACAAGAAGGGACAAGAAGGGAAAGACAGGAAAAGGAACGGGATCAGTCAGAGATGGACAGGACAGAGGGAGGTGGACAGGGTGGGCAGGGACAGTCAGGAATGGACAGGGGATAGGGAGAGATGGACAGGGACAGGGACAGGGACAGGGACAGGGACAGGGACAGGGACAGGGACAGGGAAAGGAGGGGATGGATAAGGCAGGGATGGGCAGGAACAGTCACGGCAGGACAGGACAGGGACAAGAAGGGATGGACAGGGAAAGGGACTTGGACAGGGTCAGTCAGCAATGGAGAGGGACAGGGAGGGATGGACAGGGGGACAAGGACAGGGACAGTCAGGAACAAGTATAAGGACAGGGACAGGAAGAGACAGTCAGGGACAGGGCTAAGGACAGGGACAGGGAGGGATGGACAGGGGGACAAGGACAGGGACAGGGAGAGACAGGGACATGGCTAAAGGCGCGGACAGCGATAGGGAGGGGATGGGGACATTCAGAGACGTGGACATGGAC